TTTGATTTAATTAGATTAACCACTTGGCTCTTAATGACGAGTATACTCGTCAAACAAGTTTTCATGGATAAAATGAATACTATAACTTTTTAACCGTGTTGTCTTTGTATTCTTTGAGTCGACTCTAGTATCCAGTATCTACTGGAGCTCACACTCTACTGAATATATACTTTGTTCACTACAGTTTAATTATCTCTGAATTTGTAAAAGTTACTTTGAAAAAGTGCACTAGATAGTTTTAAAAAAACTTAACACTCAAGTGGTTAATCTTTTGATCTAAGGTAAGATCATTACGAATAGTAATCTGAAACAAAAATTGGACGAGCATCCAATTAATACATTAGCCTTTGTTTTGTTATTCTTTTTCTTTTCCTCATCTTATTCTGTCTCTGTCGTTGATTGAATTAAATCATATGTCTAATGAGCTTTTTGACAAATGTCTATTTCCTTCCAATCGCATAATTTCGTTATGGTGGCGCCTTCTATTTATGTTCACATTAATAAGGTCAATGTATACAAATGGGACTAAAAAATGCGTTCACATTCAGAATCAAGGGGGGTTCATAAAGGAGGGGTGCAAAACAAGCAAAATTCGCTCGGGGGGACCGCAGGGTGTTCAGTTTAACAGGGTGTTCATAAAGGAGGGGTGTTCACAGAGAGAGGTTTTACTGTATTATATTAGGACTTCTTAAAATAGATAATAGTATTTGTTTTTCATAAATTCTATAGAAGACAAAAAAACCCACACACATAAACTATCTCTCATGGAAATCTGTGCTGCTCAAAATAGCTATTGGTATAATAATCGACACAAGAGTATTACATTGTCATAACAAAAAATAATGAAATTCAAAATTTTAAATGCAAACAAATTTTTTTAACATTTCGATTGGTACATTAAAAACATCACTATTCAATGTTTTAAATGAATTACAAATATTTGAAAATAGCCAAATTACAAACACTTACTTATTGTCATTGTCATTTTTGGCTTATTCAGTTTTTCGTAAATAGTTACATTTAATGGTTATTATTGTCAGTTTCAAGATGATTCGATAGGCCTTTGTTTTTGGTATACTTACTTTCAACGATATTGACTGTAGTTCAAAAGATAATTAATGATGATCTTTTCATAAATGCTATTCATCGCTAAAAATCAAGTCATAAAGCGGAAACAAAAACTGTATAACATTGATCAAAACGTGTGCTTATTGAATTTGAACTAAAGTTTAATTAACATTTTCAGTCCCATGGTAGCAAAAACGATACATATGTTTTATAATTATTTTTTAAAACATACATAATTTATTAAAATTAGTCACTGATCTCTTGATATGAAGCAATAAAGAGTACTCTAGAATCCTTTCTAAGTATCTGTAGGATGTGGATGTGGGTGAGTGTGAACATTCTCTGCAATAAACTTAGTCACATCCACCTTGTTCATTTAAGGTGCAAAGGGCATCGTTTTTGTAGACTAGTTGTTCGAAGTGACTACAGAGCTCCCCGGTGCATCTTATTGATCAACCTTTCGTAACGACTCGAAGGATTGATTTCGGCAGATCGAAATATTTAAACTTATTGTCGAATCCTCGATTTATTTGTGTACTCTGCCTGCTCTATATGAAGCTCCGACGCTTACCAAAGTGCATCGTGGACGGGTTTCGAGGGACGAAATCTTTGAAAAAAAAAGAATCAATGGTTGGACATCATATTTCAGAGCCCTCAAAAACCATAGCATAGGAGCTGAAGTAAAAACTTGAACATAAGGACTTACACGTTACAAAACTTTACCAGAGTCATCGCATCGTATTTAACAAATGCAGAATAAAAGGATAGAGCACAAGCATTTATGATTACAAATCTCTCGTCGAAGGATTGGATTATATGTCAGCTACTATTTCTTGATAATATGTTTGAAATTGTGTATGACAATACTTTCACTTTTTCCAATTTTATTCTAAATTCGTTTTTGCTAATTTTTGAAAAAAACTGAAGATTTTATAAATTTAAAAAAGAAAAATAGGATTATTAAAATTGTTGCTTATTCCAATTAAGACGACTCTACAGAACTCAATTGATTTCAAGAGAATCGTCGTTTAAACAAATGTTATGAAGAAAATATAGGCGAGTTATCGTACAAAAATTTTGGAGTATTCAGTGTGAGTTTTGAATTTATATATGCAAACATATTCATGAATCTGAGAAGTTTTCAAAAAAATTAATTTAAAATCATTTAGGATGAATATTCGAATTTAAATTTTAGACATTGAGATTTTCTTTAAATATGAATTTGAGACAATTTAAATATGAAATCAATAACACAAAAAAATGACATTTCAATTATTCATCAGATGATATTCCAATATAATTAGACTTTTAACAACATAACAAAATAGTTTCATTAGGATACTAGACTGTTGATCTTAAATATTGATCCTAAAAAAGAAAACATAAAAGGAACAGGAAATATATCGCAAACAAAAATAACTTCAATCAACATCATTAACGAATGTTGAAAAAAATAAACTCAGTTGATTTCTATAGCATTTTCAATCAATTAACATTAATTGAAAGCTTACTTAGTGCAAGGATAGAAAAGATGAGATATTAATAAGAAGATTATGTGCAATAATGTAGAATTTAAAACAATGGATTTTGATCGTCATATTATTACTAATGTAGAAATGATCTTATTGAAAAAGTATGCAATTATCAATGTGAAATAAAATTCTTTTTTGTTCGATGCCTAACATTGATTGAGTCTAAGTAGAGAATGTATTATTAATCGTCTCCAATTGTAAATGTATGCTATCTTTTGCAATATTATTCCAATATTTTTTATCCCACTATATTACGAAGAGTTGTTCTGAAGAGTAGTACTTTTTAACTTCCATATGTTAACATTGATACCACCTAATGTTTATTCTAATAAAAACGAATCTCTGTTTTCTAGGAGTAAAGTTTAACTAAAACCACATGCATACGAATCTTCATTGAAACGATTTTCTAAACTATCCATTTTTTGATGACAAAATGCCATAAAACAAGACAATTTTAAAAACAGAAGAAACTTGTTTTTTTCGATAAAAGAATGCTAAAAAGCATATGCAAATGCGTTACAAACAAATGCATTCAAACAATGCTTTTTAGATGTGTCTTAGTTTGAGAAACCATGTTAAAATGCACTTTCATACAAATTTCTTTTCCACGAAGTATATTCACGTGGGTGTGAGGGTGTGGAAGCAGTCCTTACTCTTCACTTATGTAATAGCGACACATTTCTACATCCCCACTCCTACATCGTGTGGACATTCGGGGCTAAAATTGGTTTCGATAATTAAATACAAGTACTAACTGATGAGTTGATGGCAATTTTAGTACTTAAGTTAGATATTAATTCAATTGTTCATTTGATTTAATCAGTCTCTAATCCAAAACAATGCAAAATTAACTAAAACTGGTGTGGGTGGGGTGTGAGTGTGGGTGTGGATGACTGACTGACGAAAGCAAGAACACATTCACACCCACACCCACCCACACTCACACCCACACCCACACCCACACCCACACCCTGTTTTGATTCTTTTCTATACTTTCTCTCCTTCACACTTTTAAAAATTTTTCTATTGTATTTACTTATCGCTTATGATTTCACAGAAAAGAATCACGGTGTGGCAGGTTTTCTCTTCTAACTAGCAAAATATCGATTCGATGAGTGTTTTTGCTTTGAATTTTACAATTCATTTTTTCGTAAAAAACACAAAGAAATAGACGAAATTCAAGAACATTTTGGATGAGCCTCAAGGCAAAATTGAAAAACATCCAACAGGCATGTAATGTTTTTTGCCAATGATCAACATATAAAATAGAGTCTTACTCATTTCTTCTCACCTATTCTTACGTCTCATTTCTATGTGAGATGGTGTGGACAGTCTGTTTTCTCTAATATTGCCTTGCCTTTCTCTTCTGCAAGATTGTTCAGTTTCTTTCTAGTTAACGATTGAATAGATTTTGCGAGTTGAGAAGAGTGAGGTTTGGCATGTGGCTAGGTTAGAGATTTTTTTCTCTTCTCTCACACCTACACCCACGCTCCATACCCCACACACCACACCCATCATTCCAAGAATATCTAATATCATCCCATATTGTCAATGTCGTTTGCTATGCAGACCTTACTTTTAGCTACGCAATTAGTGGATAAGCCAACGATAAGACAATTTTTTTCATCCACACTATAACAGCCGAAAGCTACATGCATCTTGTTTTCTTTTCTTCCTTAACGCAAGCAGTTGAAGAACAATTTTTCTTGTTGTTTCATCAAATAAATCATTGTCAATAAATAATCACTTCGACAGTGTCACGAGGAGCGCACACTTGAGTGTCAGGCATATTGCTTCGAGTTTTCTTCCATTTCTCTCGAAAGAAATCGATGCAACAACCATTACGAATGCTTCAATGTTTCACTATTTGAAAGAGTTTTTAAACGCTGTTCAAGACTGCTCCTTTGCAAAACACAATCCCGACGATCTATGCAATATAACTTTTTTAAAATGGTATTATATGAGCCATATTGGTGAGAGCTAGATTCAAACGAACATTGTGGTTCAACTAAATTCTAACATCCTGTAGAAACTGCAGTCACTATCTGATTTTTAAAAAAAGTTATTATTGTCTAAAAGCTAAGGACCTCTACAAACGGCAGTATTCTTCGTAAAAAAAAAAAATTTCTATAAAAATCTTTTACAGCCATTCATTTTCAATGTTCATTCTTAATGATCGAATTTTTATAAGTAAAATTTAAAATCTCATCGTTTTCCAGATTTCAGTTATTGGAGATTCGATTTCTAACTCGCTTTCTTCTCTATACTTTATTACTTAGCATTTATAACGTGTCAACAGACAGTAAGCAACAAGTTGTGTAATTACATGACTCTTTACATCAAATGAAACACTCCATACTTCTCTCTGTTATATATCTTATTCTTTTCAGATTATCTAGAATGCATCGTTGTCTTCTTGATGTTCTACCAACTGAATTATTCTATATAATTTTTGATTATTTTTCGGGCCATGAAATTCTCACAATATTTTCAAATGTTACTCCTTATATCAACAAGATTTTACTCTCATACTCAAATTATCAAGTAAATTTCAAGTCGATCCTTAAATTTGACTTTGACTGTGTTTGTCAACAAATACGACCGGATCAAATTGTTTCATTGACACTTTCTGATGCTGATGATACAGCATATCAATCTGAGCTGTTTCTGTCTCATTTTCAAATCGAATCATTCACTCGGCTTCGATCATTAACCTTACACAATGTTGAAACAAAATCGTTGCTGATCATTCTTCAACAAATATGTAAATTAAATCGAAATTTTCGACTTTCGTTAGAAAATTGTGATATCAAACCTTTGGCTTCGATTCAAATTCCATTTCAATTACGATATTTAAAATTTGGTGACTGTAAGTCATGAGAATTTGCATATCTGTTTTCTTTGTTTAATTTCAATAGGTCAGTATTCGCTGTTGATACCTTCAATTATATTTCTAAATACACATCTCAACTTCAGAGACTCAATATTCACTGTAATAACATGAGAGACATAAGTGCTTCACTGTTGAAATTGCCTCAACTCACATGTCTTGTTCTTACAATCAAGTGTAAGTATCATTCATTTGTCAAGCACTATGATATAAGAGAAAAGCAGCATTTTGGTAGATTTATAGACGAAAGATCGTACAACCTATATTTTCAAAAGAGAAAATTTTGACTATTTGATGGTCAGTCTATTTCTGTGCAATGATATTTTTTATATAGGTTTCGATAAAAATCTGTGAGATGGAAACCTATTGCAAGAATCGCTTTATCCTTTCATCTATGATTTTGTATAAAGTACTATCTGTAATCCAAACAGTTTTGCTTGATAACGGATCATCGATGGATATGATTCCCAGATGTATGACAGACCCTATGTCTTTGGATTTTACCCCCACACCGATATTGATACGTCTCCTATTCAACGACTTCCACTTTTATTCCAATCCGATGAGCTAATACGAAAATGAAAAAATTGAAGATATACAGAGGATTGACGATTTTTTATCAAGAAAAGATATCATATATATTCGTATATGACTCAGATCCTTGAATCAAGCATCCATTTGAGATGACTCTAGGAATCCTGACTCAACAAAAACTAAAACAATAAAATAGAAGATTGTGGTATCGTGGACGAAGGCCATGATGTTCTGTATGGTTCCTCTGTCTATCTGAAAAGAAAACTGGTTTGTCTGAAAATAATCAAATAAGTTAATTTTTTCTTAAAATCCAATGACTTTGATCGAACTCTTATCTCCTTCATTACAAAGTAAACAAAAATTGTCTAACATTATCAGAATCTGATCTAATCTCGATTCAAAGGCGCGTCTACACAATTTTTATCTCGAGTAATTTATTAAGACTTTGGATTCTTTAAAAAAGAAAAGAGTGAATACATAACACTTCTATCGTTTTAGCACATTTGGAGTCTATAAATGATATCGAATATGTGCTTTTGAACTTGCCTCATCTCAAACATTTTGAATTACATGGTAAAAAGGTTAATCCTGGTTTAGCCAATGGACATCTATGGGAAAACATCACTAGTTCACTTGCTACATTTAATTTCATTTTTCATTTAAGAATCACTGAAATAGAACCAATTCTACATAGTTTTAGAACTTTCTTCTGGAGCGAAAAACGTTGGTTTGTAGCTTACGAAAACGATCGTCTGTTCACAGTGCCACGTTTCGCTAATGACCGTTGCATCGATAACTTTCAATCTCCTGTGTATTCAACAGCTCTTGATGATAAAATTTTCACGGATAGCATCACTACACTCGTATTATCACAGTCATTTGTTAATTTTCAACAACAACTTCCTAATGTTCGAACATTGCAGATCGCTAGCGATGTTCATCCACATCATCTTTCATGTATTATTAATGTAAAGCGAGTGGAGCATTTAATATTATCGTTTCCAATCCTACAACCATTATCAAACATTGTTCATATTCTAAACATTTATGGTCTTCGAGAATTGTCAATAATGACAAACCCATTTCAGCTTCTAGAACAACTCAAAGGTATGCAATTCAAAAATATCAGAACATTGACAATGCCCTCTGCATTTATATTTGATGATCATTATCCAGTTGAACAGCTATGTTTTATTTTTCCATGTGTACAACGCCTACGCATAGATTCAATTAACAAAGCAATCATGATCCGTATGATTGATGGATTTATACATTTGTCAGATGCATCGTTCTGTCTTAAATCATTTTCCAAACGCGATCAAATCGATTTGAAAGTAAAACCAGAATGGGCACTTTATGAAGTACGACGACTAAAATGTTTCACCTATACTTGTCGATATGAAAATTCATATCTACACGTATGGATCAGTGAACAAGTGAGTCAGCTGCAAATGAAAATATTTTTCTTGTTCTAATAGTATTGTTATTTAGCCTTTATCTTCTTCCGAAATATGGCATTCGTTGCAACAAAGAAATCACTGGTATTACAGAGTTAAATCGATTAGCAGATCGTTGGTTAATCCATTGATCAATTTTATCAATACTTTCATTCCCTCGTCTTAAAGGAGGACCGTGAAAAAAATACGTCGTCCGTTTGCGTGTTACAAGGTCAAAAGATATCAGGTTAAAAGAACATCAAAGTCCAAAAACAGACATCTACGATGAGTTTTTGATAAAAGTTTACGAAAATAAAACGACATCGAAGAATCTGAATCTGAAATCAGGTTTTCAAGAATTCAAACAATTATTTTTATGAAAAGCACACACATTGCTCTCTTCATTATTTTCTAAAGAAAAAGCGAGTTTACTTGAGAAAAAGACATTTGCAAGAAGGGAAAATCGAAATATGGAAAATAATGTGAGTTTGGAATCTATAATTGCTCTTTAATTTCGGTAACCTCTTTGCAGTATCGTTGTCAGCATGGGTCAGAGTATGTTCTAATGCGGAGAGTGTGACAGTAAATCGTAGCATAATGAAATAATGGTTACATACTACTGGCGCTTACTCTGAAGTGCACGATATTGAATAATTCCTGTTTATCTACAGTAGTTCTGAGTGAAATAGCCTTTTTCTGTACACTCTAGCTAAGTCGAAAGAGATAGCATAGAAAGAATTTTATAAGTGAGTTACAGCCTGTAAAGTAAATACAGAGTAACCAATGATTGTTTTAATGTATTTCAATAACGCAGCAAAAGATTACGAACAAGACCTGAGAGAAATGGTGGCGAACGACTGACCACTAATACTGCAAACGCAGGGTATTGTTGCTTCACAAAAGACATATGCAAAACCAACATTTATCGAGAATACACAAGTAACGCGACGCAAACGTCGCCAACCCTCTACTGAAAGGATTTTAGCAAAGAATAGCTGCCAGCAGGCTATCCTGCAAAGTGAGTGTGAATTTCG